AGACTGCATATTTATTCAGATGTAAGACATATTTATTCTAGCCTACTTACCCATGGTTATTCTAACTGTAGTTTACTCAACCCAATTTTTCTTGGTTCACCTAAAACCATCAACTAACCTCACAGTTTTGCACAATAGAGTAGACTAAAATATGGTTGACCAGTTTGGGGTTCAGTGTGTCATAAATGCAGCTTGTGAGGAATTTCATTCAACGCAAGTAAGCCTAGGCTTGCATTAGGACCAGTTTATAAATGGAACAACAGAATCAAGTCAACAAAGAACTTTTTTCTGTGACTGTCAAATTTACTATAGCCATGTTTGTACAACATGCTTAACCAGGTCATTTAAAGAGCTAGTAGGTGCATGCGTACAACATACAATGCTTAGCTTGTGTTGTCTTGGTCTAACTTTTTTCAGCTTTGAGTGTTGTCCAAACCCAGCCGATAAGGTTAACTTATGGTTCAATGTACCCAGTGAATCCATAATGGATTAATTCAACCACTAGATTGTGTGTGTTCAACAATTGATTTCTCCTTTCATTGCAGTATTAAGATGGGAACATGATAAAATGCTATATTGGTAAAAAATATCTACAAAAATAGAGATGTTCTGACAAGTTCTAGATTCTGGGGGAAGTCTACCTAACTGAAGCAGAACATCAGGCATTTGGTGGCTGACTCAGCTGAAAGTAATGTTTTCAAGCAACTTTATCATTGACAGGATTTATTGAGATGAAATAGATAGGATTACAAGCATTTCAGCAGCTGAATTATTTCTCATTTAGCACCAATTTATCTTGAAATACATTCTGGTGGAGACCCCGTTCAGATTCTTTCTAACACATTTGTTGGGAACTGATAAGGAGGTGATTTTTTTCATAGATAACAGAAAAACTTGCAGATCACTGTTTACAAAGCCATCTCCTGAATCCTTATCAGCCTGTGAACCAACCATTGCACAGAAGTTCTGCTTTAGAAAAAGGTTATTCTATGTATAATAGAGCAACATAGAAATACTATAAATAATAGAATAAAGTGAAATTAAAATTATGGATTGGAATTTGTGGTTAGAGTTGATTCCGTTTGCTGTTTAATGCTACTCTCATGCTCTTCTGTCTTTTATTTCTCTGTACAACTTATTTAACTTCATACTTGAATTTGCAACTTTTATCTCATATTTCAGGCAGAGTTCCCAAAAAATACATTTTCCACTGTAGAATATTCTTGTAATTGCTAGTATGAATTTGGAATTCTATCCCATCTCTTTATGGAGCAGACCAATACCATCCTGGTGGTATAGTCTTTTAGATTTTTCTGCTACTAGTGCTTTTCCCTTGAACTGGGCTGTTCTCTTATTTATTTCAAACATGGAATATTTCCTTTTTAATATTAATGTTTTTAAAAGCTTTTGTCTTTTATTCCTCCTTTTCTTTTTTATTTTGTTTATCTCTTGTGACATTGAACTATCACTTGAGGCAGAGAAAAAGGCTAAATCCTCTAGATACTATGCCTTTACAGTACAAAGTCACTAGTGAAATTATTTTGCTTTTTGTTCTTTGATGGTTTCATTGCCAGAAAGGCAGCATAGTTTATGAAAGTCCCATTTCTCTCCACAGTGCTGTTAGAGTGTGGATGTCAAGCCAACTGCTCCCTGACACTAAGTGATGGCAGCAGAAATTAATAAACTGCTACCACAAAACAGGAGACGAGGCCAGGATAGAAAAAGTCAAAAAGCTTTGTGGAGAAGAATTGAGGCTTCCAGCTTTCCACCCTATAGGCTCAGCCATTTACTATGAGGATCTTAAGCTATTTTTAGAAGTGGAGTTTCCATGATATTTTAGTCCAGATATGACTGCTTGTGACTAAATGTTATTCTGCATGTTATTCAACAATGACATGGGACCTCTGAGAGCTTATTTTAAAATGCTGCTGCTGATATCCTTATGCAGATGACATCTAGACTTAATCCACTTGAAGTGATGGATGTTTTAAATTGGTACCTGGATTTAGTAAGAATGTTTAGTAATAGTAATAGTAGTAAGGTTGGAAGGGACCTTGGAGGTCATCTAGTCCAACTCCCTGCTCAGGCAGGAAACCCTACACCATTTCGGACAAATGGCTGTCCAGTCTCTTCTTAAAACTTCCAGTGTTGGAGCATTTACTGCTTCTGGAGGCAGGCTGTTCCACTGATTAATTGTTCTCACTGTCAGGAAGTTTCTCCTTAGTTCTAGGTTGCTTCTCTCCTTGATTAGTTTCCACCCGTTGCTTCTTGTCCTGCCTTCAGACGCCTTGGAAAATAGCTTAATTTCCTCTTCTTTATGTCTGTGGGATGTTTATGAGAGAGATGTATGCAATATGAGTAAAATTGCATAACCCCTATAGCAGTGATGGTAAACCTTTTAGAGACCGAGTGCCCAAAAACTGGCCCCGCCTCCCCACCCCCTGCCTCACCCCTGCCCCACTCACCACTTCCAGGGCCCACCGCAGATCCCCCAGGCAGCCCCGCAGCGCTAATGCAGTCACGCCCTCTGCCCGTGCCCTGCAGCATCAACTGTGCATGATGGGGTGTGAGGGCAGAGTCTTGTCTATGCTGTCTGGCTGCCATGTGGGCCACTCTCAGGGGCAACTCTCCTTCAGGGGGGCTGCTGGAGAGGAGGGGGTCACGGGGGGAGGGGAGGCTGGGGCAATGGCATGTGTGCCCACAGAGAGGGTTCCGAGTGCCACCTCTGGCACCTGTGCCATAGGTTTGCCACCACTGCCCTATAGGATCAGATGTTTAGTCTGGGATACTCTCAAATACTACATTACATAGATGATGATTTGAACATCTTTTATTACTTAGCTGATGCACCACAGATAGCTCAACTTTATGCCATTATTCACACTGCAGTACCATTGTCCCTTGGGGGCTCCTTTTGAAAATGCCCATGAAACATCAGCTAATCAAAAGGACACAAAATAGGTACTATTACTTTCCATGTTCTGCTTCTAGATATATAGTGAGATGATGGGATGGAGTATTTTGTTTTGTTATGCTTTTTTTTTTACAACTCTAAGCATTTTAGGCATTTTGATTTGGCCAAGAGGAGTCAGAATAATTGTTAGTTATTTTTGTACTATTTTTTAGATTGTCCATTTAAATATAGTTTGAAAATGTCAAAGCAACAGGAGTGTTGTGGGTAAGTGATTATCACTCTTGATTTTAAGGAAAATTAAGAATAGTAAAACCTGTATTTTGTCTTGAGAAAAGCAGCTCTTCAATAACTGATAAATAGAATTCCATGGGAAGAGAAGCTCGTAAGAAAAGGAGCTTAAGATGGATGGGAAGGAAATGCTTATCCTATTTCTAGAAGATACAAAATTGAATTAGATAGCTTATATCCAAGAAATGAAATATTGGTGAGTAGAAAAAATTAAGGACCGATACAATAACTGAACAGGTTTAGTAAAAATCTCAAAACAAAAAAAGATCCAGGGTCTTCTATTCTTCACTACTTCCATTAAAGATTTGAATGATGAAGTGAAGGGAATGCTTATGAAATTTGCAAATTATAAAAATGGGATTGGATATTGTATGTTTTCGAAGTAAAAAAAAAGGACTCAAAATGATCATGTACTGGAGGAATGAAAAGAAAAGAATGAAGTTTAACAAAGACAATAGCAAAATTCTTTACTTAGGGGACAAAAATCAGATCTACAAGCATAGAATCAGGGATCACCTGGCTCAGTAATAACACTTGCAAAAAAAAAAAAAAAGATTTTGGCTTAATCCTTGACTAGAAATTGTAAATGAGCCAGTAATATGATGTGGGTTTGTAATTAAATCAAATGAAACGGGCATCCGATCACAGGAAGTAACCATTCCATTCTGCCTGGGTCAGGTCCCACACACTTTAAGTTGAAATCACACTTTAAAAGGATTTTGAGAAATTGGAACCAGTTCAGAAAATGATAACAAAGATGCTTAGAAAACTATGTACCAAAACCTGCAGAGCAAAATTGGATGAACATATGTTAGCCTTGAGAAAAAAGGGCATAGAATAGCACTCTTGAAATATCTGAAAAGATGCCCCATAGGAGAAGGTCAGGACCCATTCTGTCTTGTGCCAGAGGGCAGAACAAGTGATAACAGATTTAAGTAACCGGACTGTAGATTATTCTCCAACATTAGAAAGAACCTTCCTAATGATAAGGGCAGTTTGACAGGGGAACCAGTCACCCAGAAGAATGGTGGCCTCCTCTTTGGATGTGCTCAAGAGGCTGGAGAGCCCTCTCCCTGGGATGCTTTGATTTGGATTTCTGTACTAAGCAGAAGGTGGGGCTCAGAAATCTCAATGGCCCTCCCCAACTCTGTGATTCTATCATAATATTATAGTGTACAATATCACCATAGAGTGTTGGTCTTTACTTATTTGGAAGTAAAGAATGTTGCCTGGATTAATCCATTGACCTAAGACCTGATTTGCTTAATTGTGGTTTACTGGAAATTCCCCAACTTCCCCAAGCTGTCAAGCAGGAATAAAAAATCTTAATGACTGGTTTAGCGCTCGCCACACTGTACAAAGCTATAGGACTATAGCTATTCTTTTGTTCTTTGGCTGGGATAACCAGGTCGTACCTATGACTACCTTGATTGGTCTTAACAGTGCTTGTCAGCATATTTCTGTGCACCCCCCCCCTTTTTTAAAAAAATCATCTTTTGCAGCCCTTGGCACTCATACAGAGGTACTCAAAGGAGCAGGTAAGGGGCAGTCCAAAAAGTCCTTTTAGCAGCAAAAACATTTGGACCTCCCTGGAATCTTCTCTTCTGGCTGGAATCAATGGTCTTTGAAGAGCATTCTTTAGGATAGAAAAACTATAGCAGACATTGATTAATTAATTGATTATATGCCACTCTAAGAGACCACACAGATAGATTTTTATCCATGATGATCTGTCCCTAACCTGGTCCTTCACCTTTTCCAAGAGTGCCCCCATGCCACTGCCACTGTGTCCATTCACCTGGCTGCTGACTACCTCCTCACCTCTTTTTTCCTTCCAGCTGATGACAAAGACAGCAAAAAACAATTCCTGGGACGCCAAATTTGACTGTCTCCCTTTTTCTTTTCCTTGACCAGCCCTCCCCATTGGGGAGGTTCAAACCCAGATCCCAAACTGGTAAAATGGATCGGAGGCCGTAAAGGGAATTCCTACAGCAGGGAGTACTTGAAATTTGGGGTCCAGCGGAGGAGAAAGTAGGCAGAAAGTGGGCAGAATTCCAGAGGGCTGATCTAGAGACGGCCGCAGCCCGGAGGGTGGTTCTTGTGCTCCGAGCTAGCCTGCCGCGGACAACTCAGAGGCCGGCAGCTGCCGGAAAGTCCTGGACTTGGAGACGGAGCGCGCTTGCCTCCGGCCTTCTAGCCTCTCGGGCTCTGGCAGTCTCGGCGCGAAAAGCTGGGTGGAGCCCTCGCGTGCAGAACTTCGGGGGAAATGCGCGGCGGCGGCCAGCTGAAGAGCAAGGCGCGCTTGAGGGCGGGCGAGCGAGCAAGCGAGCCGGCATCAGGAGCCTCCCCTAGGCAGCTGGAGCGCGGCCTCGGAAACGCTGCGGGGCTCGGGACCATCCGACGGATTTTGAAAGAACTTCTGGCGGGGCCGGTTAGTGCTGCCAGCCTGGCAAGTGAGGGGCTATGCAGCGCGCGGGAACCCTTTTCGCCGGCCTGGGAATGTGGTGGTGGCTCAGCTGGGACCTCGTCGCCCTCTGCGAGGCTGCCAAGGGCCGCGTGCCTCGCCTCCGCCTCTCCTATAAAGGTAATTGCAGGCGAGTTTTGCAGTTCCTTTAAGCCTTTCTTTTTTTTCCCTGATTTTGCCGTCGGGATAAGCCTCGGCGATAGGGTGCTGATGATCCCATTTTGCAGATGGGGAACTGAGACTGAGCAAATGAAACTTGAGCGATCGCGCGCTGCAGAGGCCGTCAAAGGATTCTATCCGCCACTTGGCTCCCCAAAATTGTCTTCGCCTCTTTAATCTGTGTTTCTGCACGTGTGTTTGTGTGAAGTCCTTAGTAAACCTGTCTCTATAATCTTTTAGGATACTTTTTGTAATCTAATATTGGTTCTTTCACCTTTGTTGTACCTTGATTAAATCTGGAGGACAGACAGATGTGTGTGCAGGAGATATTTGGAGGGACTAGCAGGCTACTTCATGCTCTTGCTAGGACCTAGCTAGGTTTTATTACAAGTCCCTAAATCTCAAAGGGAGATCTTTGGACTGAGATCCACATTCTTTAAAAGGGGTGGGGATTACTAAAATCCTCTGAACTGCTTTAAATTGTGAGTAATTTTCTCCTGGGCAGGTTTATATAATGGTTAGGGGTAAGTGAAGAAGAATAGATAAGAAAGAAATCTAAGAATGGCAGGCAGGGGGTTTTGGCTTCAGCATTGTGCAAGTGTGTGGAGTATGCGCTAGATCAAGACTGCAAATTATGAGTTGAAATAGTGTGCATTTAAACTTTTTTGCATGGGATTGAGGGTGGGTGGTGGGTGGGATTGAACTGCATGCAATTCAGAGATAATAGATTTTCAACTGTACATTTCTGCAGGGATATTTTTTAATATATACATACAATATAATTATCCCAGAAAAAAGCGTGTCAAACAAGCATACAAATCAGATAAGGTTGCCAACTGATCAAAAAGCAAAATCAGCCTGCCATGCCATGCCTTGATTCCCTTGACAGCAATTTAATATATCAAAATCAACAAGTGCGCTTTATTTTGTAAGCATGCAGACAAAAAAACCCAAGTACTTTACACATTTGGTTTTTGTAAAAGTTGCCAGCCCTGGGGGTAAATACAGATAGATTTCATTTGTCTTTCCTGAAATTTTACCACTAGAGGGTGAGGGAAAAAAAACCCGCCCTCTATGGGAGTTTTGCTAATTTTATTTCAGCTCAACTCAAACACTCATAAAATTTTCTCTGACATGGTCCTATGAACAATGCCTGTATTTATGCAGCCCCACATAAGTACAGTTTGTATTTAATAGGGCAGTGGTGGCAAACCTATGGCACGCGTGCCAAAGGTGGCATGCGGAGCCTTCTCTGTGGGCACGCGCCATTGCCCCAGCACACGTGGTCTCTAAAAGTTTGCCATCCCTGGCCTAAGGCCAGCCAGCCTGGAGCCGCCATTGGGGAGCCTACCATCCCACCCACCAGAAACCCCCTGGATCTCCCCCAACCTTGCCTGGCTCCCACAGGTGTCCCTCCCCATAAGCAACATTGAGGTGGCCATGCCCACCCAGGCCATGCCCACCCAGTCTGCCATGACTACTGCAGCCACACCCATCCAGTGGCCATGCCCACCCAGTCTGCCACGCCCACATAGCTGCGCCTGCTGAGTGGGCCACACCTACCCAGCACCCGGCAATACATAAGTGGGTTTTGGGTTGCAGTTTGGGCACTCAGTCTCTAAAAGGTTCGCCTTCACTATAATAGGGTCTCTGCATGATCTCAGGAACATACTAGTTATTGTAGCTTTGCAGCTGACTGGCATTTGCCTGGAAAAAGCAGGTTTACAGGAATAACCAACACAATAAAGTCTTTAGCCCCCGGGATTTGCTTTTTGTCACAAATCACTGAGCAACCTTCACTGAAGTTCCCTAGTTTCCAGTTTTACTTTCCTACTTGCTTTTCTATCTTCACACATTATATTCTGCAATGTGTTGTGCTGTGATTTTATTGCTTTTTCTGATTTGCAAAGGAATTTTTTATTACTTTTCAGTTGTTTAAAACAGTGGTTCTCAACCTTTTCTTTATCTTGAACCCCCTTTAAGTATTTTTTGTGGCCACAGACCATGGCCGCAGATTTCCAAATGGTGTAGGGTTTCCTGCCTGAGGAGGGGGTTGGACTCGATGACCTCCAACATCCCTTTCAACTTTTATTATTATTATTATTATTATTATTATTATTATTATTATTATTATTACTCAAGATTACTTGATTTTTATTATTACTATAATAATATATATTATTATTACTATAATATATTTTATTACTTGATTATTATTATTACTCAAGATTACTTCAATTATTACTCAAAATCGTAACATTTCTTCAAGCTTTCGCGGACCCCCTGTGATGACCTCATGCTCCCTCAGGGGTCCATGGACCACAGGTTGAGAACCACTGGTTTAAAACATTCACCCTTATTATTTAAGTAATAATTAAATAAATAAATATTACTTGTTGTCTGTTAGTAGTGTGCTGGTGAGAGAACACTGAAGACAACTTGTGAAAAGTTAAACCAATGGCTCTGCTTTCACCAGTAAATATTGTCCATTAGGGGTCTTTTGGTGCTCTCTGAGCTTGGATGTTTTCTTGCAGACGTTGGTTAGCATTGATGATGTTACCTAGTTTGGGTAATGAAACGTTTGCAGGAGAACTAGCAAGCTCAGAGGGCACCAAGGACCCCTCATGTCAACCCTGAGCTACAAATATTCTCCTTTATTGGTATCACCTATAGCAAACCTACTGGCTTTCTAAGAGCTCAGGCAGTCTTGTATGATCTAGACCAGGGCTTTTCAACCAGTGGTACGGGTACCACCTGTGGTACATTGGCACCTGGCAGGTGGTATGCGAACATCCTAGAAAAGTGGTAGCGGGGGAGGGGAATCAACTGAACCGGTGGCAGCACTGCACAAGCCTGAGCGAAAGATGGCTGGAGCTGCAGGGCTGTCAGGGCTCAGCGGAAGCGCTAGGATCAGCGCCAAGATCCAGCTGCAGCTTGGCGCTGATCCTGGTGCTTCTGCTGAGCCCAGAAGAAGCGCCGATCAGCTGGAATGTTGCAGCATCTCCAGGGTCTTATGATTTACATTCAGATGCTTGGCAACTGATTCATATTTATGACGGTCACAGTGTCCCAGGGTCATGTGAAGTGACCAAAACCTGCTGCAACCACCCAGCAGAGTGGGGGGGGGGGATAAAAACCAAACACCCCCCACCCCCACTGCCAATCTTCAACAGAAATGTTCACAACAATGGAAACCTCAGACAGGAGGAAGAGTGCCACCGGATGGCAGGCAAGTGTCTTGCTCGGCTGTGGCTTGGGGGACACTTTTTTCAGTGCCATTGTAACTTCAAACAGTCACTAAGTGAACTGTTGTAAGTCGAGGACTACCTATACTTTATCACTTTTTTACTTTTTTTTTTTTTTGGTCATCAAGTTTTTGACACCTTGCTAGGTGGTACTCGGATATTGCCATATCCTAAAAGTGGTACAATGGGTGAAAAGGTTGAAAAGCCCTGATCTAGACAACTCCTGGATTGAACTTGGAACCTTCTATATGTATGACGTTGCCGGGCTATCTTCCTCCTAGCCTTGTGTCTTGACCTGGATTCCCTGGAGAGAGTTGTAACAAGGATCATAAGACAGGCGGTCCTTGTTCAAGGCTGCGTTTCTTTGGTCCGGAATGGAAGCAGAGTGATGATATCTGGAGAGGCAGTGTGAATGAGAACAAGGGCAAGAATGCTTCAGGCGTCTCTGATGCTTGTAATGTTGTCTGAATTCTTAGTGATGGATCAGATGGACTGGATTGCTTCCATTTAACATTATAAATAATGAGTCTGGGCCTAAGTGTCAGAACAGTGGAGAGTAAATCTGAGAGATTAGGTGGAATTTGCATATTTAGAATGGCTGCTGTGAAAATTTGTATATTGCTTTTCTGCAGGATAAGGAAACGCTATTGGAATGTTGTATATTTAATCATTCACTTGCTAACTCCTGAAATATTGTTTCTTGCCAAATGCCTAGGACAGCTATAGTGCCCAATCAGTAGGACAGTGATCAGTTGGCAGAACTCTCTGTCTCTATTGACATGAACAATTTTTTTGCTTCCGGCCATTGGGGATGCTTTTTGATCTCCTAAATTCATTATTCAAGATGCCATCTCTTAGGCTAACTCTGAGCCCCATAATTCTTAGTCTGAGGTTGGGCTTAGTCAAGAGGATAATCAGTGGGTTGCTGCTGTTCTCAGTGGCTCTTCTGGAATAGCAAAATATCCTTCTTTTAGGAAGATGTCCTAAAAGTTGGTGTGTTGTTCAAATATGAATACTAGAGAAAACTGTCAGTGTCCAGTCAAGCCTCAGTTGTAATAGTATGGTAAAATGTTGTTCAAAGAATTAGAAGCATAATTATTATGTTATCCCTTTTTGTCAATATTGGACTTAAAGGCTGAATAGGGAGTTCTGGTGCTCTGTGACATGACAGAAGATTCCAACAATAAAGAGGAAAACTGAGGGAGTTTGATGAACTGGAACACATGTCACTTGATGTCAATACTATGACCAATACATTTGAACGTTCTTTGGGTGATCCTGGTTTGCTGCAATTCAGGGATGGGGTGCAATGTTCTAAAGGCTGCACAGACTGTTTTGAAGATCTGAGGGCTACAAAGGGAGTGGAGCCACAACTTACAAAAGCATAGTCGTTTCAGCAGAGTTGTTTGGATTTTCCCTTCTTTGTGGTATGTTTAAGTTTAGGGTTTACAATATGTGAGTTTTCTTCTGTTTTGCATCACAAAATGGAAATAAATTCTGCGTTCCGTTTTTAACAGTGATGATCTGATGGCCACAAAAAAGGGCACTTGAGGGCTGCATGAAGGGGATGTGGGGATTTTGTAATCTCTGAAGCTTATCCTTGTTGTGGAATATGAAGATTCCGAAGTGAAGGTTGGTGGCAGCAAGAAATCCAAGAAGCCACCCATCAGGGACCACAACCTTGCATTATAGTGAAAAGAAGAAGTTGCTCTTTTG